ACGATCTCAAGAAGACTATTGGCCCCAAGTCTATTAGCTCCATGGACCGAAGTAGATGCAGTTTCACCTGCAGCCCAGAGTCCTTCCACTGGGCAATCCTCTTCGTTCTTTCGGGTTATAACTTGACCCCTCCAATTAGTCGGTATTCCACCCATATTGTAATGGACTGTGGGAATAATAGGGATCGGTTCCTTCTCGCAGTTCACTCCTGCGAACACCCACGCAAGATGGGAAATTCCTGGAAGTCTCGATCGAATCGTTTCCACTGGGAGGTGGTGCAGCTGGAGGTACATGTGATCTTTCTTGTCGCCAACTCCTCTATTATTCAAAAAAGTCCATGTAGAATATTTTCCTCGTAATGGAAATTGTCTACGGGAAAATACGAGAACACGTACCAAGTGAACCTGCCAAGTGTATATATTTTTCAGGAATATCCCTGAATCCAAGGGAGATAGCGAAATTTTCATTGAAATCATTTTTCTAGCTCCAGCTCCACTCTATAAAAGAGGTTTTATGAAAAATTTCGTCATTTCCCTTAGATTCGGAAATATTCAGGAATATTCCTCTGAGACTTGAGTATGGAGAACACTGACTCGTTATTTTTAACGACTTTCTACTCTTCGTACGCGGAATTAATTAATAAGGCTGATAAGTAATCAATATTCGTAACGACTACCTCCCCTCCAAAATTTCGAGAGTGATGGCACGTGAAACGACGTCTCTGGAAGCGAGATCTTTGGCATTGGGTGCATATTTTTCCATGAAAAACTGGCCCTCTGAATTTATGAGCTTCCCACCTTCACCCCTACTCCCTTCAGTAACCAATACACCACTCCCATAAATTCCCGTCGGATGGAACTGTATGAATTCCATATCCTGAAGTGGCAATCCCGCTCTGGAGGCTATCGCTGCACCATCGCCAGTGCAGGCATGAGCTCCAGTGCAAGAGAAAAAACATCTTCCTGCGCCACCAGTTGCCAGGATCTACAAAAAACCATTCTCTTCATATTGTCATTAAATAAATGAGCAATAAATCACCGTGTGATGAGCCCTGAACCGATGCATCAGTCCTGTCTCCAGCTCCCAAGCTATGACACCTCTGCACTGACTCCCCTGCATCAGCAGATCCAACGCAAAATACTCCACGAAGTAGTGGACATCGTACTTCAAACTTTGACCATAGAGTGTGTGCAATAGTGCATGCCCTGTTCTATCGGATACAGCACATGTCCGATGGGCCTGTCCACCTTTTCCAAAATCCAATGACTGACCACCGAATGCTCTCTGGTAGATTTCTCCATCGTCTGTTCGACTGAATGGACAGCCTGTCCAACCGTCAACATAAAATTATCATTTTTTATTATTCATTCCTAAAACATATTGCAAAAATTATTTCTCTGGGGTCCATCGACATCAGTCATTCTCTCTCCTCATACTGCAAACTATAGATTAATATGAATAATTCCCCCTATTTTTCCTATTTTTCCTCTGATAACTTGATAAATCGATTGGGTCGTGAAAAAATCATTGCCAATAATTATTATCATGTTATCAAGGTGGATTTTTTAAAAATATCTTTGGGTGATGAGGTTCTACCGTAATTCTCCAACTCGTAAACAGCTCTCGGTGCCTCCCGAGTCAAATAATGGATGGCATCCTGATCTCCCAGCCAGTCTGACCCCTTGACAGTGTCGTACATGTGAAATAACCAGTTATCAGGCTCCGCGTTGCTGATAGCAGCATTGATTCCGCCCTGGGCTGCCACTGTGTGAGATCTCGTTGGAAAGAGCTTCGTTACCACAGCTACTCGATACCCTTTACTCCCAAGACCAAAAGCTGCACGAAGACCAGCTCCACCAGCTCCCACGATTACGCAATCGTAGCAGTGATCGATCATCGGATATTTCTGATCAATTTACCCAATGATTCAACCGTGAAGTTTATTTTGAAGAATAGAAAAGAGAATATGTGAAATCCACAACGAGAAATTGCTCTTCAGTTATTTTTATACATGAAGAGATTTCTCTGATATTTAGTAGGGAATTAAAATTATAAATTTACTCGAGGGAATGTATTCTAGAGGAAATTATTATTTTTGAATGAAAGATTTTTGAAATTTTAAGGATGTCCGACATTTTGTAGCCAAAATTTACGTTTTTGTCAATTTTATGGCGAATTATCGATGCGATCGACGTAGAGAAATATAAATAAATATATTAATATATCGGAGGGCTGTTTTAAATGAATTTTTTTCATTAAAAAAATGATCTGTACTGCATACTCACTGTGTCACTCTTTTCGCATTTTGATTTGTTATGCGGTTTTACGTTGATGTGGAGTTTACGACAGGATCTTGACACCTCCCGGTGGAGATTGTCGACTAGTTTATGAGCCAGTTGCTTTAAAAACATTTTGAATAAATCAGCAGCAACTGCCACTGGGTTAGGACGAATAAATAACAAACGACTGTGTTTCTATGTACAATACATCAAGCGTAGATTCATTGCACTTGCAAAAATACATATTCGAATACAGAGAAAGTAATTTTCTACCTAGATTAGTGATTACTCGGAATACAAATCCTTAAATACTATTTCTCTCATGTTTCTTGTCTCTGATACTCGATAAAATACTCTTCAATTTTTTAAATGATCTAGTATGAAAAATTATTCTTCTCTTTCACTCATTTCTTGTGTCTCGGTACATGAGAGACTCGCGTTAATTATATTAATACTCAATGCGTCATTAATAGGCAAAAATTCTCAATTTGATTATTTCGCTGCACCATTCATCAGATTGTATAAAATATTGATATAAAAATTATACGTTTTTAAATTAAATGGCAGTCAGAGACATTATTACAAATGGTATGATGATAAAATGAAGTTCCTTCGACTTATTCATCGGATAAAAGCATATTAAATCACTCCTCAGTCTAAGTCAATTACAAAACGGAAGTTATAATTTTTTAAATGATAGATTATAGTGTTATCTTCAGATCGCTAGCCTCTGCACCCCACACTCGCAACAGAATTTCGCCGTTTCCGGGAATTTCGTTCCGCATTCGTGACAAAATTTTGACATTTTCGATTTTAATGATGACGTTTCCACATCTCGATGACGGAGTGGCGTATGTCCGTCCAATTTTCCGGCCACGTCATTGGTGCTGCGTCCATTGGAATATTTTCGATTTAAACTGGAGATCATAAAAAAAAAACGAAAGAAAAGATTGAGATGTATCGAATGAAAATTTAAATTCAGTATCGAAAGTCGAAAAAGGAGATAAATCGAGTGTTGGATTTTTTTCAAATATCGATTGATGTAAAAAAAAATCTCAAATAAAAATTGCAATAAATAATCAAAACAAATGTTGAACTCGACGTATCTCTGAATTTAAGAGAGATACCGAAATTTTTGTTAAGATCTTTTTTTTACGCCTGATTAAGAGCTGCGAAAAAGATAAAGACAAAAATTTCGGTATCTCAGTTAAATTCGGAGATATTCCACTGGAAATGATTTATTATCTAAAACGAGTTATTTTTCACTTTCTCGCACTTGATTTCTCTCTTTTACTTCGTTTTATTTATTCCTCACCTGCTGTAAGCCGAATCAGCACTGAGTTTGCTGTAGTCCTTTTTGTGATAACTGTCTGGCGAAGACAAGTCCTCATCACTGATCTGACCATTTCTGCTGGGCTGAATGGGACTGGAGAAGGAATCATTTTTCAATAAGGATCTCAAGGAAGGAAAAGAGCCAGAAACATCATCCTCGAACGAACTAACGAGATCCTCAAAAACCGAATTGGAGTGTTTTAATTCCACCTCGGAAGAAATAATAGAGGTCAAGCTCAAATTACTTCCACCGAGATTGGAATAATTATTGTTTCTACTGGGCATCCCAGACCCCGAGTTCGACCTGGAATTTGCTCTGGTGTTGGACAACGACGAGGGATTATTCCTCTCTGGAATTTTAGGAGCTGAAGCAGCCCTCACCGAGTTGGATCGATTGATGTGGGATTTAACAACAGCTGGAGAGACTCTATCATTTTTTTTCGTCGTCTCTTTGCTCTTGGTGTCGATCGCCTCGCCAAAGACATCACTCACCTGACCCAGGGCTTTAGATTTATCGATGATAATTCGTCTGCCAAGAATCGGTTGATTGTTGTTATTTTTGTTGGCTTGATTGCGATCGATGAAGAGCTCGCGAGATATGGAATTTGTCTCGGTGGAGTCTGAGGAAAAATCCGTTGACAGATCGTCGAACTCTGTGGGGGGTGCTATGAGAGAACCTCGTTTGTCTGTTTTACGGTTGTCTGGGGTGATGTTTGGGTATTTAGCGAATGCTGATGAGTGGGGGAGGGGGTAATTAGGAGATGGTGATTTTTTGTGAGTGGCTGGAGAATCGGGAAATGATTGGTCGCTGTATGTGTCCGATAGGAGATCCAGCATTTGCTGCTCGGCTCGGAGGAATGGATCGTAATCCGGGCTGATCCCACTGGAAATAAAATCATGAGTTTAGATTTTTATGACCTTCGGGGGAATCTCTTCGGGTGAGCAGCGATGGGTGATACATGAGCTGGAAGAATCAGAAACGACACACAGTGGGTGGCTGGATGAATGAATCATTGCGTGACTTCAGGTGCTCACTGCTAAATTCTGAACTCCACCAAAAATTCATCTTCTTGGAAATCCACTCGCGTCATACGGAGAAAAAAAATTCCAAAATTTCCACAATTTACCACGGAAATTACGGGAATATTATATGGAAATTAAGTAAAAATTACGTTCCAATGAATTACGAATTGGAAATGCCAATGAATTTTAAAGAATTATTTATCTGAGAGTAATCCCTAAAAATTACTCTAGAAAATATGTCAAATTACACAACATAAAATTTATAGGATCAAATAAATGTTTTTTACTCGCAATTTTTCCTCATTTTTTTGTCTCCGTATGAGAGATGATTAACGGAACTTACGTTCTACCCTTGAGTATGAGATTAAAATCTGGACGTCTGCGAATGTAATTGCTCCAGGCTGGACGCTTGTCCTCCTCGGAACTCCTAGAGTTCGACATAAATTCTCTAATGAACAATCAATTAATGTAGTCTAATTGTCGTCTGGATTTTTATGAAACCAAACAGCAACGACGGGGTAAAACTTTTTTGAGATTTTACGAGTCTAATCAAAATGACGTCCAATCATCCGGAGTGACTGGGAGAATTCCCAGAGGATGATGCCAGAATATAATACGCAGGAAAAATTCACAGAAAAATTCCTCTTATAATAAAAAACGTGATGTCCAGTGGAATTACAATTTTTGGAAATTTTTTAAAAGGATTTTTCCGTGGAATTGTAATTGTACTGGAGAATTTAATTTTTAACACGTCAGGGTGAATTCACTCTGGGGATTTATTAATTACCTCTGATGGGCTGGAACCACTGGGGGAAGGATCAAGGGATTTTTAGTGGATTCGACTTGTCGTTGGGCAAGAGGAATAAATCTATTTCTAGTGTTTCTTACAGCTCGCTCCCAATACGAAACTTTTCTTCTTCCTTGACGAATAGTGTGCCTCTGATCTCCACCGATGCTCGGAAACACTTGGAATTTGTCTACAGAATTGCCAGCGTGTGCGTTGTCAATCGAGGTGTCAAATGAAGACACCAAAGAGTCTGTACTCTCCCGGAGAAGATTCATCTTTCTTCGTAGGCGTTTTTTTACGGAAATTTCGTTGGAACTCGCAGAATCCAAGGAGTCAGTCGTCATCATCACGTCGTTGATGTTGATCGGAGGTATCGGAATTATTTTCAAGGATCTACTCAGGCTTACCGGTTTAGGGAGTGACAATGTGATTTCACTTTTTTCATTCGCGTCAATAATTCCGGATTTTTCCACAGGAATTATTTTTCCCGCCGCTAACGACGTACTTGGAGGATAATCTGTATTTTCTGCACGGAGGGAAAAAGGTCAATAAAAATCCCGCGAAAAATCGGTTGAGATGAAATTAAATCGATGAAACCTTCAAGGATGAAAATAAAAATCAAGAAAATCCATGAGTTTTCACTGAAAATTTCCTCATGTCAATAATTTTTTAATCCAACATGAATATTCTGTTAGAAAATTACGTAAATTCAATTTTCCTTAAGTTCCTCTGATTCTTTATAATTTTTATGGAATAGTGTGATTGAAAAATCAAGTATTTTACGGATTTTCTAAGATTTTTTCAATTCAATTGAAAAAATCAATAGAATTCGCAGAACGATTGACTCTCACTTTTGCCGAAATTTTCCTGTTCACCTGGTAATAGATTTTTGCTGGAGTCCAAGAAGTCATTGGATTCCTTGATGAGATAAGTCTGATCCAATTTCTGTACACTCCGGATCCACTCGGGGTGTTTATCATCAAAACTACCAGAGACCGAGGCGATCTGCCTCCAGGTAATAAACACGTTCGAGTTCCTCGACTCATTTAAATCATCATCGACACAACAAGGCTGGCCTGTCGTATCAATTACGTAAGATTCTATAGTGACATCATCGGCCTTGGCATTACGGGGATTTGAAGAGTTTATTATGTTGGATCCTCTGGACGCCTTAGCAGGATTTTGTGGATTCATATTCATCGGGGATTTTTGGCTGGGTTGCGTGGGAGACAAGGTCGGGGACGTATCATCGTTAATTGACCTGAGAATGCGGAGGTGGGTTTAAGGTGAAGGCCAGGGTTTCTATTGTCATCGGGTAATTTATTCCAAAAGCATCAAACGTCCGGATCTAAATTTGCCTATTCACGTGGCATTTTCAGTCGATGATAAGAATTTTCGTGGGACAAGGCTATCTTTGAATGTCACGAGATTGGCGTGGAATTTATGATTCGATAACGTCTGTGGAGAATTTTTTTTTTAACTCACCTGGTGGTCGATCTGTCTGAGAGCCGCGACTTTACCGGTCCCACTGGTACCAGTCCCTCATTTCTCTCTTGTCCGATTTTTCTCCTGCAACCGAAATGAACAACATCGGCATGGAACTTTATGGGAGACTAAAATAATACAGCCTCTGTATCGCTCCAACTGGGACGGATGTGCCAGTTTTAACTGCGTTAATTGGATACCGAAAAATATGAGTGGAAGAGGAGATTCATGTGGAATGAAATCTTCGAGAAAAATTCTAGTACTGGTACCAGAACTTTGTCTAGTTCCTGTTGAAATTTTATGCAATATAGCAAAAAAATTTTGCTCGATAATTGGAAATTCAAATTTCATCCACATATTTCTCAAAAACTATCATTTTTAGAAGAAAATGACAGAATAACTTTTTCATCAGAAATTTCATGAGCTAGAAAAAAGTTCTCTGACACTTCCCCTTTAAACCTATAGTTTTCAAGATAAATCGACAATTAGAATGAAATATGTCGAATATTTTTCGTAATCACAGATTTATCTCGGAAGTGATCAATTTAATGCAGAAATGCTGAAGTCCATTTTACTGGCTGAATTTCTAATAAAATAAATCCCATAATATTTGTTCATAAAATAATTAGATCTTTAATTCAATTGAAATAAAAATACATACGCTGGAACCGTTGATTGTTTGAGACCCAAGGAGCCGCTCTCCGTGGTTTTCCCGCAGCTGGGGAGTGACACAGTTTTCTTCGGTTTCAAACTCGCGCTTGGATTCTTGAAATGAGAACTTGAGTACTTATCGCGATTCGTCATGCGTCGGTTCTTGAGCATCGGTGCTCGGTACTTCATTCTAGCATCAAGACGTTCCTTCGCCATATTCGTTGCAGGACTCGATGGCATCCTCGTGACTCGATCCTTGCACCAGGCAACATGACGATCATAAGCTTTTATCCCAAATTGACGATTACACGTCGGACATATGCCCTTCTCATTGGCCCGGGTCGGTGCTCCAGGAGCGATTATCGGAGCTAATTGACGGGAAGGTGTTGGTTCAACCTGATGAGCCAAAAAAAATTTATTATTTTGAAAAAAGAGATTAATTATGGGTAAAAGGAGGTGGGGCATCCTCATAAAATTTCTGGACTCTCAATCTCTGCAATCTCGTGAATCCACTCAATCTCTTCAATCTCCTCAATCTCCTCAACCTCCTCAATCTTCTGATAAAAAAAAACTTACAGATTCCCCACGTGCAGCTCTGATAGTCTTAATAAACTCGTCGTGGCTCTGCTTCCAAGATGTTTTACCAAAACTCCTCTCCTCGTAATTCCGTTTTTTAATCTCCTTGGGTAAAAATTCCTCCAACTCGGTTCCCTGTATCCTCTGCTTAGACGAGTCAAAAGGCTTTCGTTTTTTGATGGCAGATCGCTCGCAAATTCTCGTGTGTTTATCCAACGATTGAGGCTTGAAGGTCCGTCCGCATATCGCACACGGCAGAAGAACAGCCAGTTCATCTGTTGCCATTGAAATAAATCAAACACCGATAATAATCATCACACAACCCTCAGTGCACCCCAGCACTCATTTCCCCGTTAAATAAATCACAACGCACGAGCTATTCACTCTTTCGCAATAATTCGCTGACCGTAACACCGATAAATCCCTCCAGCAACTATCGCCACACATTGCAAGTTCAATTAACTTCACGATGTGAAAAAAAAATGCATTAACAATCAATTAGAGCGATGAAAAAATAATAAAACGTGAGCGTAAATGTGAGAGATTTGAATTGCATTCGCGGCGCGCGTTATTCAAACGCAATTCAGAATAATAATGCAGGAGAAGGTGTAAGAGAAGGATAAATAAAACAACCTGGAGTGAATCTGGGTGAGGAGAGGCCTCAGGTAATTTCCACATATCGTGTGGAAGTGGACAGATATTTTCGCTCTCGCCCCCGCGCATTTTCAGCCTACGTTACCACCAACATTCCTTTTTTGGTTCTCCACCCAGATTACTGGGGGATATGTGTACCGCAGATATTCTGCGTGATCTCCAACATCTCCAAGCGAATGACATTGTATACGACCTATCCGTGAGTGCCATTCCCTTCCGTTTTCATCTGGCAACTGGAATCGCCTTTTCTTTGTGATCCACCCGTTATGGCCACGTGGCTCACCTTCGTCACTCAAGTACTTTTTTTTTTTATCAATTATGTAAACAGAGAGTACACCGTACTCGGATGTTTACGTTTATGTCCTTCGGGGTTCTCTGATTTTTTTTAAATCTGTTATTATACCCCTGGTGTCTTTATTCTAACTGGATTACGAGTTTAATTGGTTTAAATCTGGCGAGTGCAATTTTTAGTACTTCGTGTGGAACTGAATTTATTGTTTAATTTATCCTCACGTTCGTTAACTTTTACTTTCTATTTTTTGGTTTCGGGGATTGATCGTGTAGTTAAAATTGACGGGAATAAATATAACGTTTTTGCGGCTTTGGGAATATTTTTTATAATATTTTCCTGAGTTTTTTCCTGAACTTTTAAGGAGAGTTACAAAATGCAGAAAGAATATATTTTACGTCAATCCCATGAATAATTTGGCAGAAAATTAAAAAACTTGTTATTCATCATTAAAATCGAGAATAAAATACACATTGCTGCAATGTTAATCTTTCAGAGAAATAACGACGGCATTGGAGTAGTGTTAGTAATTATTAATTGGTCGTTAAGTCTTGTTATGAGTGAGGGAACGATAAGAAAAAATATGAGCATGTGCTTACGGAGAACTAAGCAATTGAGCAAGCAATGGGCTAATTATTTTCCTCATTCTCTCGATGGAATTTTTCCAGCTCACCTTTATCAACAATTCTTTCTAATTTCGATAAATTCGCGTCTGTACACAAAGGTAAACATTTTGATTTGGTATTGGTGGACGTCAGGGACGAAGTGGAAATGCTGGTGGAGTTGGTCAAGGATATACCACGCGTTGGTACCAAGGGCGGTCTTTTAAATCCCGGTCCATCGACTGATTTTCTCGATACACAGCACAGCATTTGATAAACTTTTACACCGAATGACGATTGAATCGCCTCTAGACCTTCTGAATGAATGATCAACCCACCACTTTGTATCCACGACTGATGCACAAACTCCTCAGCACAACTCAGCGCCTCCGTAATATCCCCGATTCATGTGAAAGCGTTTATTTTAGTTTGGCTTTCGTATCCCTAACTATTTTCACATCTTCCTCGGGAGCAAGAGACCAAGAGACTTAATGTATAATTAGATGGAACTGGATCTAAACGAAACAGTAATTAACGGGCCAGAGGTAACAGAATGCGAGTTCTTAGTGTCGAGGGTGACTTGAATTATTTATTTTGTGGAAACAATAAATATTTGTGGATTAATTTTCTTTTTCACATTTACACTCACCCTCGTAATCCGCCATGTCAGTTGATGAGAGGAACACATGTTGCCATGACAATCATGACTAACATAACAAACCGCTCACTCCACTTGACACCGTTGAATCTAATAAAATCATGATTCATGAATCGAGGATATCGCCTATTGTGGCTCTATCAATTTTCGTTTAGGATCGTACTTGATTCTTTTATGGTACCGGATGTTCAGACTAACTATTGCACTCTGTGCTACGGAAATTATTTGTTATACAGTACATTACAGTAATTTCTATGATTTTTAGTATTTCTTGGTGGATTCATGATGATTTATAATAATTCCAAGGAATGGAAGTCAATTATTTCGATAAATAAATATATAACAATATATAACAATATATAGCAATATATAGCAATATATTTAATTCAGTATATAGGACTTCATTTTATCTTTAAAATTGAATTGACCATTTTTTGAATATATGGTTGCAAACGAAAATTAATTAACATTTTTTATAACATTTTAAAATATTTGTAGATATATATTATAATTATGAAAAAAAAAATAGTTTTCATAGGATTTTTAAAAAAGGAAAGAACTATTTATCGAGAAAGCGATTCGCCTATCCTTTCTACGATTTTTATCCTTTCCACATAATTTCCAAACAATTTTATAATTAATTCTAACTGATTCTCAGTGTTACAGGTTTAATTAGCTTAAGGTTCGTTTATTTTTTTTCGGGTATTCAAAGTTCGCGGGGCCATCGCGGCCTGTATATTCCAATTAAATCGTCTCTTCGCGCTAATTGCAGAAACTACGAGATGTTGATTGCTTGCAAATTGACATGTGCATTTGTCAAGAGGATATTTTTCTCGTGGTGCTAATTAAATTGTTTATTGAGCAGTGGTGAAAATATTATCTTAAAATACAGAAAATCGCGGAGTGGGTGGGAGGCGAACGAGAGGTGGCGATAGCAGTCGCAATGATGTTGTCAGTGCGCAACGGATTCATCAGGTCAATGGTAATTATTCATAAAATTTAATGCATCTGAAATAGTCTCTCACAAAGCCTTGGGAATTACGCAACGTCATCTCAAAGTACAAAATGCTAATGAATATATGCATTAGCGAATTATTCAGGCGTTTGATATTTGCATAGCGTTTGTCAGTGCGCATGCGATGTGTCACAACACATGTTCCATTCGCGCGCAGACAATCGCCAAATTTAAATCATTGGATTTTCCAGACAAGATGCCTCGGCAGGAATTACGCGTCTACCGTATCGGAGACGGAAAAATACGTTGACAGTTGTCAAAAAGATGGGGTATTGTTTTTATTTATTTATTTATATTACGTTTTTGTTCTCATCATCAGCTGCACCTGGAAATTTTTTATCCAGGTCAGGAGAATAACTCTCTGCCACATGGCCACTAGAAACTCTCTATCCCTGGAAATGATGAAAATTTTACTCTGGAATTTAACTCGAGATGTCGAGAGCGAAAATTTGAGATCCATCGTTATTTCAGCAGCTCCTGGCAAAGTTTTCTCCGCTGGACATAATCTCAAGGAGTTGGTATGGTAATTCGTGATGCACACTCGAAAATTCATAGCTATATTTACCCTGAAATTTTTCTTGAAGATGTGACAATTGTCCGGTGGAAATATTCTGGGAATTTTCTCCTTAAAAATTGTAATTTACACATGCATCATCAAGAAATTGTAAATATTGCTATAAATTCTTCTCCAGATGTAAACAAATCAAATAATTTTCTCACAAATCCAATTAAAATTCTTGGCCCGACCAAATTCGTTTGGCACTAGAAATTGTATATTTACCCTGAAATTTTTCTTGAAGATGTGACAATTGTCCGGTGGAAATATTCTGGGAATTTTCTCCTTAAAAATTGTAATTTACACATGCATCATCAAGAAATTGTAAATATTGCTATAAATTCTTCTCCAGATATAAACAAATCAAATAATTTTCTCACAAATCCAATTGAAATTCTTGGCCCGACGAAATTCGTTTGGCACTAGAAATTGTCAGAGTTGGCTTTATTTTGCACAAATTGAAACATTTCGTTGTGAAAGAAGACTTCGGCTGCAGGTAGAGATCATCATAAAGAAGTCTTTGAAACAGCTGCAGCTTTGATGCTGACAATAGCAACAGTACCAGTTCCTGTGATCGCTGCAGTGGATGGTCTTGCTGCTGCTGCTGGCTGTCAACTCGTGAGTGCCTGTGACATCGTCGTCTGTACTGAAAGAAGCAGTTTTTCTACTCCCGGGTACTTCCTCACTTCCAACACCACTGGAAGAAAAAATTATTTCCGCAATTTCGGGGGAATTTTTGGAGTTCTACAAAAATTTATTCAAGAGACAGTCAAAAAATGGGGTAGATTAACGGAATAATTAATTAATGGGATAAATTATTTAAATTAATTAAGGAATTACAATTAATTGGTGTACCTAGAGATTTTAGGGTTTCCGTTTGGGATTAATTGCGAGGAATAATTGTTCTCACAGTGAATTTGAGTAATTGCTAAAAATTTATTCTGACGTACATGAAGAATTGTATTTTCAGGGCGAATTTCGGAATTTTTTGCTCAACTCCGGGTATTCCCCTGGTTCGCAATGTCCCGAGAAAAGTTGCTGCTCATATGTTATTCACAGGTCTTCCCATTTCCGCACGTGAGGCCCATAACGCTGGACTTGTTAGTAAAGTCGTAGATAATGATCGATTAGGTAATCAATTTTTAATTTAATACCTTGTGCTCTATTCAAACCTCAGAGAAATATCTGTTGATCTAAAAAAGGTACGGAAATTGTCGAAATATTTTTTGTAATCCTCATTGCAAAAGAGGTGATGATTAAAACGTCACGATTTTAGATTCAGGGATAGTCACGAATTATCCTAACGATTGTTGTTGACAGATGCGGAAGTTCAGAAAATCACGGAGTCAATCAATTCGAAAAGCCGGGCAGTCGTACGTCTGGGGAAGAACTTCCTCTACGAACAATTGGAGCTCGATACTTCAACAGCATATACATATGGAACAGAAATAATGGTGGGAAATTTAGAGTTGAGAGACGGCCAGGAAGGTATCAAGAGTTTCATGGAAAAGAGAAAACCTCAGTGGACCCACAAATTCAACAGAGAGAACGAGGGTCCAAACGACTAATTAAAAACATAAGAAAAATTTATTTTCGCCAAATACCCACTAGAGAGATTTAAAAAATCAAATCCACCATAGAATTCACCCTAAAGCCAACAACAATCAAATAAATTTCAAAAAAATTCTCCCATTTCACTCGAAATTTCTCACCGCATGAAATAAATTGAGGAAAAATAATTTCTACCGAGTAAATATACTTCCCCAAAAATTGCACATAAAATCTCAACGCAAAATCCATCCAAAGGGTAATAGACATTACCCAGAATAAAATACTTTTCTCGGGTAAATGGGTATTTGGCAAGAATAATTTTTTTCTCAGTGTGCGGTTCATCGTATCGCTGGCGATAACGAGTGCGTCGAGGGGGTCACGTTAGTGAGAGAAAAAGAGGGAATTTAGTGAAGAAATAGTGATTTATCGGGAATTAACGAACATTCTGCAGTTGAGAGTGTAATCAGTACAAGTTTCGGAGGGGTAAATCTACTTGTGGGGGGTCTATTGACTGTTTTGACTGTATCATCGTATAAATAAGAGATAAGACATCCAAAATAGCCCTAACAAATGAAAATATGAAAGTTTACAGATCATGGTAGGCGGAAAAAATAGCCCACACACCCAAAACGTGTTAAAACCCACCCAATTTGATAGACCATAGGAAAATTAGAGTCCCTGAAAAAATAGACAACGAAAAAAATAATTAAATTAAAAAATAATTAAATTGAGCGAGTTTTAACACGTTTTGAATGTGTGGGATATTTTTTCCCTGGGATATTTTTTCCGGGATTCACAGATCATTACAGCCTGCAGTGAGAATAAACGCACATGGAGTTTTTGATTTTCAATAATTTTTGTCGCTTCTGCGGTGGGTTTTTCGTGTGGTATTTTTTTTTCATTATGTATCTCACATATTGTGAAATATTTGATTCGCGTTGGGGACTGCCTCGTAGTGAGATAACCCCAGTCTATCCTCCATTATTTAAATTCTTCTTGGTATATCGTTTTTCCAATGGCACATGGACCTCACTCTAAATGTTATAGCGCGTTAACCAGAACATTTGATTATCTCGGCGCTTCTTTTTATTCAGACTGACCTTTCTTTGTGACCCACTTGAAATATGAAATATAAGTTTATTGATTCATCGATCTGCTTTCTGCTTCTCGAGGAGAGAATTCCCAAGACCTTGATCCCTGTTTCTTTTATCTTTGGATTATGGACAGACGAGCGCTTTGTCACGTTCTCAAAATACGTGACGCGTTTGTGATGTCACAGTTTTTATTTTATTGGGGCTTTAATAATCCCATTGAAATCACGGAAATCGCGGGATATGTCATCCACGAAAGAAATAAAAGAAATTTATATTAATAAATTGAGAGATAACGCAGTTCATTTCATGGAAGATGTTTTGAATTCATATTATGAATGAATTGAATTAAATTCATTTTGCGAATGAATTGAATTTGAATTTTACTGTGGATTTATTTTTATGGGGAAATTTTCATTTCGTGAATTCTTGAATTTATGGACAATTAAAATTATTATGGCGTTCATTATGCTGTGACGCACTACAGAATGTTTCGACGGAACAACAAATTACTCAACGCTGATTTCAATCTGCCTGTAAACATCGCACTGTGGAAGAAAAGAGTTATCAAAGTTATCGGCTCCCTCGATGTCTCGTGAGCTCGATTGAAAGGGATCAATCATCACTGTTGAATTCTCAACGGAAAATTCATTCAGATTGAATCCACTTTCAATTTTCTTTTTAATTTCCAAGTGGCGAACATTTTCTCATGTTTTTCCTAAACTTTGAAAAAGAATCACAGAACTATAGAAAAAACGCTTGAAATAATGACAAAACGCTGAACCGTCATATTTTTTCACATTAATCCCGATAGTATGCCAGAAGAATGTTTAAAAAATAAATGTAAACTAAAAGCATAACTTTTAGTACAATTTTTTTGGTTCTTCACCGCTTGACTGCTGAATAGTTTCTCGATAAAATATTGGATCGAATGGTAGTCAGTAATTGGAGTGTCAAGTAGTGGCACCCCTTCTCGAGAGATGATTAAATTGTATAAATGACCTCAGCTGACGCCTGCCTCTGCTCATCAGTATACTCTTGACAGTCTGATAACGCTCTCAAGAAACTAACAAGCTCAGTAAATCGTGCGCAACACAAAAATTAACAGCTAATCATTGGATTTCCATTATTTTATGATATTCCTAGTGGATACTACAGGTGTCTGCATGATATTGGACGCGTTGGAGGAGCTCGAGGTGGTGACGAACAAGATTCATCAGTTTTTGGTGAAGTGGAGTGCTGAGGGCACCATCAAGAAGTTCACAAGAAGGGAAATTTACGAATTCGTCTTCGATCGTTGTCACGGTGGGTTTTAATAGGGGAGATGGGGCAATTAATAATGGATATATCCAATCCATTTTAAATAATGAGTTTAATCGGATGAAATTAACTGCTCTGACTTCGTCTGGAGGGGATCTCCACTCCCTCGTAATATTCCGATTTTTTTTTGGCTTTCAATAATGAAATGCAATTTTCACCGCTTGCGTGGAGACCTATCAATTATTTATTTCGTTCAATAACAATGGTCAATATGTGGAGCAGTAATTACATTAAAAAATGATCTGTCATTTTAACTCAATAACGCATTTTGCGGAATTGAGACCGCGTTGCTTTTGGAAAATTTGAAATTTGAAATGTGTGGGAATTTATTAGTATTCAAGTAACAAATTGGAGTCCTCAGTAATCACTGATTGATAATTAAGAGTAATTATGAAACTCAGTGATTGGGAACTAATTTTTCTATGAATCAAATATTAATCGAGTCATAGGCAGGGCCATATGATATTTTTATATAGTTTTCGCGGAGTGGGTGATGATTAATATTAGAAGTAGTTTAAATGTGAAGTTTATGTTTTTTCCAGGGTGTGGTAAGATGGCAGCGGTACCGCAAGGTGCTTTCGCAGTGCGTAAAGTACGAGAAACTCATGAGCGAAATATTGTAATTGTGAAAATGGAGAAGAAGGAAGGGGATGACCGAGATAATCGCGGGAGTGGTTTCAAGAAGAATTTGACTGAAGGTAACAGACTGAATTGATTATTTAACGAAATTCGTTCTCCCTTCACTTGAAATGTTATTGAATTTTCAATATTTTCTCGATGTCAGGACGTGAACTGACGCCTCTGAAGTACAACAGCAAGTTGATGAACAGCATTTGGGGACTTTACAACCGTTACTCCGTTCATAATTTCAAGAAGAATACTGATCCCGAGGGCGATGCCGAGACGACGGTGTTCACAGCGGCCTGGGGAAGTTTTTTCGAAAGAGATGCTTCTGCTTCTGCGACTTCGGCTGAAGTCGTGGGAAATGCCGCTGCGAAACACTAATAACCTGATGAAGCATTACTATATTTGAAAATTAACGTGTCAATCAAATAAAGACGATATTTCATCGAATTTCGAGAAGTTGTTATTTTTATTGAAAATTAATAATCTATTTTAAAATGATTCCCATAGTTTTCATAATCACTCATTAATTCCCAATTATTTCGATTATTTATTCGAATGTTAATTAACTAAAAGTGCGTGCTGTTCAATTAATTGCCGTTTTTTCGTAATTTCTAAGACGACTTGTCACTCATTCAAATCTACCGCGGAAAATCAGCTGTGAGTGGCCATTTGCGAGTTAAAAAACACGTGGAGAGTGACAGTTTCGTAATGAATTTCGTGAGCAAATGCAATAATGAGCAGCTATCACGATTAATCATTAGGATATAAAAATTGTATGAACAATTACAAAAATGCAGTCAAAAATTCCTTTGGAGCTGACACTTGCCATTTTGAAACCACATGTCATCAAGAATCCAGTAGTTCTCCAGGTAACCTCGCATGATAGTGAATGAAAACGTAACAAGTTGCCAGAAAATTGCCCTTTCTTCTCAGAAAATTCACGATATTATCCTTGAGAATGGATTCAAAGTGGTTAGGAGTCGACGGATAATTATTACTCCACCGGAAGCTGATTTATTCTATCAGGAGCACAGGGGAAAATTCTTTTATAACAGGCTAGTCACGTTCATGTGCAGTGGACCCTCTGATATCATGATTTTAGCTGGAGAAAATGCAATTTCGAAGTGGAGAGAACTCATGGGACCGACAAAAGTTTTTCAGGCACAATATTCAGCTCCCGATTCCATTAGAGGCAAATTTGGGCTATCCGATACGAGAAATGCAACACACGGTTCTGGTAATGAGATAATTCATGAATTTTACTCAAGTTGTGACAAAAATTTAATTCTTTTCTCACATATAATCGAAATTTCAAATAAATATTCATGAGGAAATTCTATATTTCTCCATTAGATTCCACAGAATCAGCGGAACGTGAAATGCGAATATTATTCAAAGACTTCGATCTGAAATCATGGCGGGAAACTGACGAATGTCTTCAGCAATTAGGACAGATAAAATTAGATTATAAATCGTTTACAAGTACTACGGACGAGATATCCATGAAATGAATCCAATTGGAGAACAACTGAGCAAGTGGAAATTGAATTATAAATTGAATTATCGTGATAATAAAATTGTCAAAAATATTTTTATTTTGTACTTGCACATTTGGATGCTAATTAAAGAGAAATGACAATGCCACCTAATAAAGCCATATTTTCTTCACCATCGATAAATGTACAATATTTACAAATTACCTCGTACCATCGTGTGATGAGTGATATTTACTTTAGTGAGTAATCAAGATGAAGTGATATAATAATACAGTAGAATCTCGTTACAGTCACACCACTGCTCAATTTCCTTCGCATTCAATTTTTTCCTCGTACCTTTGGGTTTTCCAATTCTACTACCTCCGATAACGGAAGTCTACTGTACGACTCTTTGGGTGCATGGAATGTTTTCAGGCATTGATTTTAACAAATACTTTTGGTCTTGAGAAAACTTTGACACCTTCTTCGAGTTTCGTCAACTGACGTTCGATTTCCATTTTTCGCCTTTGGGAGCGCAAAGTGTCGGACCTTATGGGCAGCATGTTGAGTTCATTGACTAGCTCTTGATAATCTGAGGAGAAAAATAATAAAAGACAATCAAATAGAACATAATTCTGTCTCTCAGGTAAAAAGTGCTTTTTCATGTACTACAATAATTTTTTCGGTGCTAAATACTTTTTTTCAACAGCTTTAGGGTCTCTCTGCGTTCATTATCAGGCAATGGCACATGACCCTCTGGACATTCCGCGAAGATCGCTTCCTCCAGGGCCTGACGTTCTTTCTCTTGTTGACGTTCTTCCTTTCGTTCCTTAATATATCTGCGGAGAACAGAAGAATAATTTGAGAATTTATTTAATACTGTGTTCCTCAAATCGTTTGAAGTGTTCACCCTGGGTAATATCCTAAATAAAATCATACTTAGGGACAACACCCTTTCTATAATTGGGCGGTAGAACTCCATTGTTGAGCTGAGCAGCCATTTTACTAGCAATTGTAAGTTTTTCCTTATTTAATTTCACACAGTCTGTGGTTTCTTTGGACGTAGATGAATTTGGTTTCTTCCGGGATTTCTGGTTGATAACTAAAGATCCATCGCCCCTCAATGCCTCCCCATCCGTAATCTCACTTTCTTCGTTGATTGGCAAACTCCGCGCAGAAGGATATCTAAAACAAAACATTCCGGTATTTTATGCTAAAGATTTTCATTAATTTCTATTATTAATACCTGACTATTCCTTCAGCATAGATTCCTTCCAAATTATCAGTATCCAATGTTTGGATTCCCTTACTTTTGCACTTAGAACTATCGCAATTATTATCACAGTGATCCCTTTCCTCGATAAAATCGAGATTTAAGGGAACTTTTGGCAATGTTTGAGGCTCACCCGCAGCTTTTTTCATTGACTCATTCTTCCGCTCTCGGAGAATCTTCTGTTTTCCATTAACAACAACAGGAGGAACTTTACTTTTAGTAATCGGCGTTTTTTTTGTATTCGGAGTTGTCGCATTATTTCTGAGTTCAGGAGCACTCGACTTTCTCTGTAGCTCATGATGAATCCCAATTTCCCTGCTGTCAGCAGAGTGATTTCCTCCGACCTCCAATCTCCTCTGAGATCTATGTAAACTCGAGTTGACACGTGCTGCAACATTTTGGTATTTGCCCTGTCTACTTTGGATTTTCAATTTCTCCAAGTCCTCCACCTCTTTGCTCGACTGAAAATATTGCTCCATGCGACGTAGATTTTTCACATTTTCTTGGATAAAATTTTTTCGCCTCGGTGGTTCTAAAATTAAAACACCACAGTGACCAAAAGACAGAGTACAGCAATTAGATTTCACTGGTAGATAACTCATGAAGGATTATCTCTGATTAAAAAAAAAATAACAGAATCAGTGTAATGACCTTTTTTGAGGAGCTCATTCCACTCTACAAAAAAGGTATTGACAAAAAATTCGTTATCTCATTCAGATTCAGAGATATTCTCCTGAGATTGGAGTATCCTCTAGATGTTGACTACTGATTATAATTCATTCACAAAACATGAAACAGAGGAAACTCACTTGGACTAGGAAAAATGCCTCTCAACGTTGTCATAGCTAATGCTGTAATTCGACGATAGACGATAGAACAATTCGATCGTACTATATTCGCCCCTGAGGTAACCTGTCAATAATTTATGTCTATCGTTCATGCACACCTCCGCCTTTTCCGATAATAATTTACCCTCCACTTCTACAAGAGAAAATAAAAATACATTGTCCCTCCACGTTCCTCCAAATGAAAAAAATTATAGAAATTCTCACAGTATTTGGCATGTGAACTTGAATTTTTCTGGGTTACACCGACCTATTGCCGTTGCCAAACAAACAATTTTTGTTTTGATGTCATGTGTCTGTCAGTGACACCGTAGACATGTACCACTTACTGCGCAGGTGGGAAATTTGAATTGTACCCGCGCTCGTTACTGTTTCAGCAGTAAAGTGTCTTTTCTGTCACTTTTTCTCCCACCACTGGAATTATGATGTTATATGAGACCCAAAGGGGAGGCAATACCGCAGAATATCTTGTGAGTATTCCTTCAGGTCAGACAGGGGAGATAAAGTGTTAGGAAACGAGTTGTAATCGAATAGCTGATTTTATACAGCCAATAGTGCAGGAGAAAGTATCCAGCAGAAATGTCCTTCAATCCGGTAAATAATTATTAAACATATAAAAAATTTATTTATAAACTGCAAAGTGTTTAATTGTTCGAATTAGATATTGATTGATGCGAAATGATATTTCATTTCTCAGGAACTTGAGAAGTTATATTCACCGAGCATGTGGAGTAGGCGGTATGGAAGTGCAGAATTAATATCCAAGTTTGTTGAACTTTCTCATAAAGGTAAAAGTAATTGTTCTGCCGCTGATTTTTTATTTATTTTCCCGGAATTGTCTCGATTCTCTTGACTTTCCAATAAAAATAATCCATTTCTCCAACAATCGTTTTACACTACTTGTTTTATTTGCAATGATCACTTGTATCTGGGATTCCATTTTCAGTCGTGGACGAAGCACGGAAAACCATTCCATGCCAAATAGATATTCCGTATGGATCGAGCGAACGAATGAAATATGACATCTACGGAACTAATTTATCAAATGGTAAAATTAAATTAGAATACTAGCATAAATGTAATGATAATAGAATAAAATTACATTTTCATAATTTCTCTCACGGTTGGGGAAATGTAGATAAAATTTTATAAGTCTAAAATATAATTTTTTTTTATCTTTTGAAATATTAATGAGACATTGAGATTGAAATTGCAGATGCACCAGTGGTTATCTTCATTCATGGTGGCTATTATCAGGAGGGTAGTAAAGAGACTATCGGTTTTGGAATACCGTCGCTCGTCGCGCAAGGAATCAAAGTTATTCTTCTTGGGTATGACCTTTGCCCAGCAGGTGAATATCTGATAAAGTCAAATGATTTAGCGAATTCACGAATGGTGTATTATCTCATTTTTTTTTGTCAGTTAAATTGGCGGATATAGTGGGACAAATAAAAGTTGCCACTACGGAGATTCTGACGATCTCCAAAAAAAATGAGGCAACCAATGTTTGGATTGTCGGACACAGTGCGGGGGCTCATCTCGCAGCGAGTCTTCTTCATGATGTTGAATGGCGAGCTCGCATGGCTGAACGTAATTTATTGCCACTGCTGAAGGGTATTGCTCTCTTTGGGGGTATATATCATCTCCGGGATATCCTGGACCTCAGCACCAATGCGGTTCTACAGCTGACCGAGGAGGAGATTAAAAAATACAGCTTCAACGATCTAGATACAACTGAATTGACACCTGTCGAGGGAATAAATGTTATCGTCGGCGTGGGAGAGTGCGATTCTCCGGAATTCATTCAATCATCGAAACATTACGCTCAGGTATTTTTTTTCCCCAGGAATATCGTTTTTTAATTTCCTTCTAGGAGGCATTGATAATTAATTCCATCACAATGTATCACGATAATCTTTGTGTTCATTTTCAGCAACTTCTAAAATTCGTGGATAGAGTCCATTACATCTTTTTCAGGAACAGCACTGATCATTTTGACATTGTCGAGAATCTACTCAATCCTGATAATCTATTAACAAAACTTATAATCCATAATGTCAAACAAGAAGCTCTATGAAAAATATTGTACTGAAGTGATTTTCAATGTTCAACTAATCGACAATCAAATAATATGATAGGAATATGAAGGTTCATGAATAAAATACATAATATGTTATAAAAAAAAGTTCTTCCATAATCGATTCCTCGATCTATAGCAGATATACCACTCACTGATGCTTTTGCATTATTTTTTTGATAGTCACTGGATTAACCCGTTTATCGGGGGTTCGAACCACCAAATTATTTCGAATACGATGTACAGGATTAATGAATCTAGGGTTTTGATTCGGCTGAGCCACATTTGATGATCCAACGGTGGCATTATGTAGTGGCCTGGTCCTCACCGGCATCCCAGAAAAATGCGATATGATGGATTTGGTCAAAAGGAGAGACAAGATTTTCTGTCGTGAAGTCTCGATGATTTTTGTTTTGATACCATCTATGGGTGTGAGTCGTACGAATTTCGAGCCTTGCTTAGATGTGCCCACAATTGAAATCGATTTCGATTTTTTCATCACTGACAATCGATTTGATGACAATGATGTACCTGTTGGAATGCACTGAATGTTAGTTCCATTCGTATATCCTAGGATAATCGTTATTTATATTACCTGCGATCGACGACGAAGTGTCTGTTTGTACTGTATCAGTTTCCACGTCAATGCATTCAATTGGTTGTACGTTAGCTGCAATCGTTTTTTTACGAGTCTCAGGATTTTTGTCTGGAGTGTTTTTCCAAAATTCCGGGGGCTTTGCAAATTCACGGAGTTTTAATACTGGTTGGCTGTCAAATTTTGATTGATTGATTTCTGTTAAAAACACTTATATGTATACAAATATATAATTCAATTTAATTTATATACTAAGTATAGATTGCCTTATTGATCAACAGATTTTGCTATGGAATATCTAAATGAGAGCACGTGTAAAAAATCTCGTTAATAAAATACTCAGTCAAAACAATGGAAAAAGCTTTTGGTTCTTTCGACTTTTCCCAATGAAACTTTTTGATGAACGATTTTAGATGAAGATTCTTTTAAACGAACATTTTAGTATGTTGCGTGTCCACTTGGAATTTCAGAGTATTAAATGTTTAGTTCGTTTTCATGCGAAAGGAATAATCTAGGTAATTTGAGATATTGTGTTTCGTTTGTATCTCTTTTTATTTTGTAGTCTTTCAGGTTGAGGTTTTCTTAACTAACATGTTGACGCAGTTTTATTACGATAGGTTTCTTAACGAAATTTTTTCAAACATGAAACCATTTAAACATTTTCACGAATATTGCATGACGCACCTTTGGTGTCCTCAGTCTTTTTTATATCTGCCCGTTGCAGTGTCGAGTCTGGAAATGAAGAGTTATCGACGACTACAATATCATCCTCTCCATGTATTTCATCTTCTATATCTCCGGCAATTATTTCCGATTTTTTCCCGTCCTCGATGGCACCAGTACTTGACGTAATTTCTGGATTATCCAGACTCGTGACTTTTCTCGGAGGACTCTTCTCGACATTTGACTCCGGTGGAATGAAATCATCAAGCTCTTTTGTGGGTTCAGTGACAGATTTTAAGACAGAGTCGGTCTTTGATACTGTGGAGATGGCTTCATTTTGCACACTGACATTTTTTATTGATGTGTTATTGATTGAAGGCTGTACATTTTTATCTATAATCTCGTCATTATTTTGTTCGTTCGACATTTCATCGTCCGGTACTTCGGGACTTGTCTCAGAGGTTTTCGAATTATTCGCCACTGTATCATCTTCCTCATCATTTGTACTGGAAGCAAGCACCTCGTTACTGATAACTCCCTGGTTAAAAACGTTGAGATTGACAGCATCATCAGGCCTTATTACCACTCTGACGTTTTCAATATTCTTAATTAAAGGTTTTATAATTGGTTTCGTGAATTTAGGTCCTGGTTTGTAAACCCTTTTGGCTGCAATTTTCTCATTCGATATTTGTGCTTGGAGTTTCCGCGTGACAGCAGGCACAGAAGGTGTCAGCATCTTCTCCCCAGGCCTTTTATTATCTCGAGTAGTGGGGAGAATGACAGTGTCAGCAGAATCTGATACATAACCAGTTGCTCGCAGATCCTTACCCGAATATCCATTACACGGAGATTTTTTTAGAGATTCACCATTCGAGCAGGTATTTATGGGAACATTTTTATTGGAGTCGACAGGATCCTCACTGTCAACCTCATCGTTCTTCTCTTCCGAGGAATCCTCATCCTCCTGCTCGTCATCTTTATCCTCTTCAGGATCACTGTCACTCTCATTCTCATCCTCTCTGGCCGGTCCCTCCTCCTGCAGTCTCACATATTTCTCAAAAATGGCATTTAATTTTTTTTTACCCTCATTTTTACTCTCCTCCAGCTTCCTCAGCAGCTCTGGATTCTCCCGAGCTGGATCTGACGAATTCGCCAACACCAGTGAAAAACTATCTACCAAATCATCTCTCCTGACTTTCTGCAGGTAATTCCCCAAATCGGTGAATGCCTTCTGCGCTATCTTCTCCATCTTTTTCTTCTCCATTCCGAGATCTCGTTGCTTATTGCATGCCTCAATACAATTCAAAATATCACAATAATCTGGGAAGATAACACAATCAACCGACAATGCCCGCTGCGATCTCTTTCTCTTGTTCTTCAATCTTTTGTTGATAAAACTGATTATAGCCTGATCGACCTCAGCTATTCCCGTGACTTTGAGATGTTTGGGTCTGAGATATCGCCTGCCAGCATCGTGATCACCACCAGTTAGCTCGCAGATCTTGGAATACATTTGTATCATTTTGTCCTCGTATTTAGCGAGCTTCATGTAACTACTGTCTTCATCATCGTCCCAGTCAACCTCAGCCTCAGACAACTCTTTTATCCTTTTTTCGCACTTCTCCATAGCTTTCATAAGGAGTCTTATCCTGGAATCATTTCGATTGCTCTCTGCGTTCGTCTCCTCAGCCTCCGCTTTCTCGACTTTCCCCTCCTCCTTCGGATGTACTACATCTCTCTTTCGACACTTCATCTCAGAATCAATCTCACGAATGTGGATATATAAGTTGGAGTCATTCATCAGGAAATCTCGCTTTTCGTTGAGAAGACCGATGAAAGCTGGACAGTGGACATACGCTGGATCTGTCTGCTCGTAACGTCTTTTTAATTTTTCGATGATTTTCTTCATGTCTGGGCTTCGATCTTTGGAGAGACACAGACTCAAGAATTGAGAGAACACTTCTGTGGGACCGTTATTCTCGTCCATAGGACGTTTCTCTTTTATTAGCAGCTTCGGCCCATGCCGCACTCTTTCATTTGACAATCCCGCTTTGGATGTCGATGGGAGACTCAAGTCAGTACTGGAAAATTTTTTGGGAGAAGTCTTCTCCTGATGAGACTGACTTTTTGATGCTTTGGGAATCTCTTTAACCTCTTCAATGCCATCGTCAGTGGAAATCCGACGTTTTTTAAATGTCTCGATCTTCACTGAATGAATTCTTCTCTTAGCCGTCGACACTTCCACTTCTTCCACAATTTTCCTTTTCCTTATTCTATTAGGCGTTTGCCTCTCAGGCCCCTTGTTGGTCCTGAATCCCGCTTTTAGCTGTAAAAAATTAGCGCAGGAATCCACAAATAAAAATTAAAGATTCAATAACCATAATTAATGAATAGTAACGACTTAATGGTTACAATTCATTTGTGTGTTTTTTAAATATGTTTTGCAATTAATAATTTTTTCGTTATTTGGATGGTGTGGTGTTTATTACCTGAAATTCGTCGTCCGACGACGAGAGACAAATAACTTCGTCTGCCATTTTCGTTGGTGTGTTTTCAACTGAATGATAGACGCCAATGAGAACAAACGGAATATTCGTACATGTATATTTTAAAATCCCTTTACTTTACATCCAATGTTCATTATCAGCTACCACATGTGGCTGTAAAAGATTGATTCTTGCGTCCCTTCGCTAAACCCACCAAATTCACAATGAATGATAAATACACACAAGTTCATTCCTGTCGTGACCATGAAGAATAGAGTAAGGAGGCCGAACAGTAGTGAGAGAATGTCCTAAATGTGTGTTCTTCATGGTCGTGACGTTGCTTATGCTTTTCTTTGGTTGCATGTGATCTCTCTCGTTTTAGTTATGTCTGTTTACCACAAGGCGGCGACTTTGCAATCGACTTGAATAAAAAATCGCCCGTATTTCGTATTATTTTCCAAAATGGCAGCGAAAAGTGGAGGAAACGTTGACTGGCCGTCAATAATAAAGCCAATTTTAGCCGCATCTTACGGATCGTTCAATAAAAATGAAGTAATCGAGCTCATCAAAGTCATTATCAAAAGGTAAGTGCATTTGAAATAACGGAAAGTCCTCCAGTGACTTTTAAAATATTTGCAAAATGCCGAGTGGCAGTTGGTGAATGACAGCACACAAATGGACTCCTTTATTCGATAAAAAAAAGACTATATATAAGAATTCGATATTGGTCGGACGAACTGATTCATCGGGAGAACCACAATTTAATCATTGTTTTATTTAATCTGATAGTGAGGAGGAACTTTTAACCCACGAGGATAAATACGATGCCTTTTACACGTCCTTTACAGCCCTCGTTGCTGATTACATCAGTGGATGTGCAAATACATGTGAGTATTTGACCGGGTGTATAATTGCTTGTTTCTGTTGTTTTGGATCTCGCTTATCATTTCAAAGGGTTTTGAAGTATATTTTGAGTACAGTGACTCTCAGTTTCTGAGAGAGATTTTCTAGAATTTTCTAATTCCCTTGATCTTTGAATTTTCAAGTGTCGAAGAGTCAAATACCCACAGTATGTCAGGCGTGCAAAATTCTCCTGACATATCTCATTGGAAAACAACCAGCAGATGGATCCTCATCCATTCTGACGATGAAGCAACTTCTCCTGCCAATTCGTGCACTCTGCACTGGTCAAAGCCTCCTGACAAAGACAGACGAAGTCGCCTTAATAGCAATTATGAAAAATGCCAATGTACCATCGTGCATAACAGCCACAACGAATACATCGACGAATAATGAGAAAGACACAACCCCACAGCCAATTAAAGAATCAAAGAGGTCGAGAAATGATTTGTCATCTTCGATACTTGAGCAATTGACGATGCCATTGGAGAATTTCATCCCATCTATCGCAATCAGCAGTGACATCATGATTGAGATCAATAAAAATACTGCGGAGAGTGCGGAAAATGATGCGGGGAGTAATGAAATTAAGATGATGTTTATTGCTAATAATGTAAGCACACTCCAGGGCATCGGGGCTGGGGACACTTTGCTTGACATGTGCTCAAATCTGCCTCATCTATCTCGATATATGAGGAAATATCAAGCGTACATGAGCAGGAAGGGATTTAGTCTGCCTGGCAATCACGCAGAGGCACACATTATAAGGCACAGTCTGCACGCTGTAGTTAATGACATTAACATCGTCCACAGTGTAGTCTCTCTGCCTGTTTTGGAGCCCTTGACACCGGCTAAACTCGAGAAATTATCTCTTCTGACCATGTCCTGTCTTTACTGCTCCATTGCAAATGCAACAGCATCGAGTATTGTTGGGGTTTCCAATGCAGTCTCTCCAAAGTGCAGCACAAATGCCAGTAATAGCGCCACAAGTCATCAGGGCTCCAATCATGGACAATTGAGTAAAAATACTGAAGAGGATTATGATTCTCTTGCGATAGCTGTTGTTGAGAAGAGTCTGGAGATATTTGGATTGGTGTCGAATATAATAAAACACAGTACCCGAGCTGGTGGGCATATCCTTCAGAATCATCTGCTGATTGGGGTATGGCTGCTTGTTGCTGGACTCCAGGCACAGCTAACTGTCAGCAGTTTCAGCAGCACTACTGATAAAACCAAAGAGGAGAAAGGAAAGTCACCGAGTAAAGCCAGGGATGGCACTTCACGAATTAATCTCATGAAAGTTCAACAGGGATTTGGAGTTCTTTCTGTTGCTCTTGCCTCTCATGCACTCACCCTTATGAGTGCATTGCTTGAAGATGTTTCCGTTGAGACGAACAATGATACATCACCACCAACCGAACCAGCACCCCTCGATATTCTAGCCACCAGTACTGCTCTCCAACGTGCCATGACTTTTTTGCAGGCCGCACCACTCAATCATTTGTTGTTTTATTTGGCGACAATTAGTTACAGGAAGGTAAGGATAAAGAATGCGGTTGTCACAGGTTTCATGTTGAATAATAATAATTATAGATTAAGTGTCAATTTTGTTTTTTTTTTTCGGCAGGCTTGCACTCTGAAAAGAGTTCAGAAACATCCCCAAGAAGGTGACACACTCAGTCAATCGGATTCTACAACTTACTACGAGGATCTCCTGAGTTTCTCAGAGAGTTCAACCGACGAAGGTATCATTTCACTTCTTGAATCATTCATCCTCATCGTAATTAGTCCGCTATCATTTGGTTAATTTATCCAGTATTATGAATTTGCATGATCTCTCGTGGATACATTGGTAATCATCTACTTTAATTCGTGCTTTATATTTTCAATGATTTGTTGCGTTATTCGGTGTTTGGTGAAAGGAAAAATCGTAACTCCACACTAGCTTTCATTCTATCCATCTAACTAACTCTGTGGGGTATGTTCACGATGTAGAACAAACTGTTATGTCGGTAGAGGAGGACAGTGAGCCTATCTTGGGCCTGTGGTTCGAGGAAACATTGTCACCTTCCGAAGGATCACCCACAAACACTACCAAAGACACTAACAACGAGACCAATGCTGAGAGACCATCGACCACTATTGTTCCTGATAATAGAGAGCCACACGGGGTAAACAAAATTTTGTTTATGGACTCACAATGATTTTCAGCAACAATCAAATATCTTTCATTCATATATTTCATTGATTTTTAGTACATCTCTCTGGCAACTCAAATTTTCCAATTCATGAATCAACACCTAATTGGCAGTCGAAGTTCTTATGTCCGTGAATATGTCATCAATGGGCTTGTTGAACAACAAATGGTCATTCTCGCCGCAATAATTCGAGATTTGGATCACGAAACAGCGAGAACCGAGACTGGTACGATATCTGTTTTTTATGGTGCAGCACTGGGTGCCATGTACTCGGAATTCTCTCAGGCATTGAGCCAATACACTCACAACTTGCTCGCTCGAAATACTCTGAGTGAATCCCTCCAGAATACACTCCTCCAGCATCTCGGTGTCAGCCCCTGGACTATCGATGGCACGAGTTCCACCTCATGGCCACTGCAGGTTTATCCGAGGACACTTAGCGTTTTGGCACAAATATTGCTGTTGAAACCTCAATTGGAGAAGGAGGCTGCCTGCATCAGCATCTGGCAGAGATTGGTTACAACCATGGTGGAGAATGTTTGCAATCCACCTGTGACGTTTGAACCGGAGAACGAGGATCTCAACGTGGAACATGCTCAGCTTGTCCTCTTCCTATTCCATTCGTTGAATCTCATGCAGAAGAAATCGGTTTTACTCGTCACTGGGAGTGGAGCTGTTCGTTGCAGTGAGGCTGTCAAAACCCCCATGAAAGATACACAAATTCTTCATATTTCTCGGCTCCTGCTGCTGCTCGAGTACATGATGAAGCATCTGTATGATGCGCCACCCACACTCCTCGAACAGGTATTCAATATTTTCATATTTATTTTCAAATACATAATAAATAATAAATTCGCATTTGATTTTTCAATTCGGATCGACTCTAAGTCGAATCATAATAGTTTTCATTTTCCATTTTTTCTCTTCATTTCTTTATTTTCTAAACCGATACTAATCAAATGCAATAAAAAAATACACAACTAATTGAGTCGAGATAACAGGGCCACCTGAGTGATAGTATAAACTGAGTGGTAGTTCAATTCTCGAACATTTTATTTTACTTTTCCTAAGGAAAATTATTGTATTCCTCAATTCCCTGACTAATCACTTTCTCGGATTTGTGGTTCAGGTTCAGTGGAATCTCCTGTCTGCTACCAGCCTTGTATCTGACACGAAGGAGGGAAACAAACAAGCAGCGAGGATTTACACTCCGTGGAAAGAAATCGAGGACAATTATCCAAAAATTGGACCGCAAGATGAATTCACAATGAAGCCTCGTTTCTATAATTTAACAAACGCTGACTTCAATAATCAGGATACACCGAAACTCGATGGCCTTGCCCTTAACTTTGTCTTGGGGACTCCTGATAAAATGAAGTATCCCCTTCTAGTCGATGCCCTCATCGACATTCTTAATGTCGTCAATCAGACACACGTGTCGAAGAAAATGGATAACAAAGAGGGAAAAGAGGGGAAAGAGAATAAAATGTCGATCACTGGGTTATGTGCCACTCAGTACTGTTTTTCCATCTGCTGGAGGCTGATACTGATGCTCCCCCCATCAACACCATACGTCGACACATTAGCACTTGGAGAGGAGATTCCAGCAGGACCAATGCTTCTGTATTCCCTCGTCTGGGGACCAAGGGCTGCTTACAAAACATTCAATGGTTGGATGAAGGACTGTCTCGTTAAACAGGGCATGTACACCCAGTATGCTGAGAATCTCCTCAAGACTGTGTCCACAACAGTCAATTCAATAAAATACGATGTAACTCTGGCCAAGAACTGTATCAAGACTCTCAAACCCGAGTTAAATCCATCAGACAACATAATGCCAAAGTCAACTCTACCAAAATTAAGTTCTCTAACGATTCTAGCAGCAGTCATTGGAAAACTCCAAGTGCTCATGGATGAGAGCATCTCCAAGAGCCCTATGGAACAAGATACTGAGTCCTCTAACAACAAGTCTGACTCGTCGAACAACGCACCTCAAACTGCGAGTACGAACACCAATAAAATGATCATCGATATTCTGCCACATGTACTATCATTGACTGAAGCTATTCTCGCTTCTTGTCGCTCGAGTGTTCTATATCAAATGCTCGAGTCCTCGGAATCCAATGCTGGAAAATATAGCATGAGGGATTATCTTGTTCTCGATGGAATTACATGTGTTGCAGGTGCATCGTGGGCCATGGAGGCGTCAATTATTACTCTCTTACCCAACACAATCAGATCAGTTCTCGACAAATGGAAAGCCATTAATGTCTCTCATGTTCCGTGGAATACGTACGCCAATGACATTATCCCCGCTGAGAGCTATATTTTGGCGACAGTCAACCATCACATCAGCACACTCTCTCAACATGGAACAACATTTTCTATCAATCCATCCTTGAAGAATCTACTCCACTCTCTCGTTGCTTTTCTCTTCGAGTACATTAATCCAACTACAGCTGCAGAGAACTCTGAAATTAGAGCTCAAGCCATTGATATCCTCATTCCCCTGACTATGGATGCAAGAACAGACAATCTTCATGAGCTGGCGTCGAAGACGTTGGTCAAACTCCTGGGTGCTGTTGACAGTGAGGCTAGACAATTGAGAGAACATCTGTATGTACTTAATTATACGTACAACGTCATTGTTGATTACACTACAAACACCGAGGATTCTTCGATAAACGTTTCAGTAGATGGTACCATTCTTAAACAGTGCATCAAGTATTGGGAACAACTCCTGGATAATTCGGTGGGTTGCAAAGCCTTGGACCAGTTCTTTGCCCCAAGTACGAATAGAACTCTAGTGTCTGTTCTCCTTTCAATCGCATCGCCACAGGCTTCCCAGCAATTTAGCACTCATGTCCTTCATTTCTTCAACAAGCTTTACAAAACAGCTGAGAAGAATATGGATGGCTCTTTAGATCGTCTCTGCAATTCAGTGTCGAATTTGGCAGCTGTTGACAACGAGAAACTTCAGTGCTGGTTGAGACACGTGATACTAGGCTGTCCTGGGAGTTCCTCGATCGTTCAGATCATTCCGGTTGCCAGTACCAGTGAGAATACTCAGAATGATTCAACCACTGGTGGCAATGATCAACAGTGGTCCTCACCTCCACCAGCTGCTGGTGGATCATCGTCTGCACTGACAACAGCCAACAATCCAACAAGTACAACACTGTTACTGGATTCTGAAAAGGTAAATCAGCTGTCAAGTGCTTCGAACGAAGAGAATCAACAGCTGATGCATGAAAATAATCAACTCCTTCAGGCATTAACAAATTACATCGTCAAAGCCAATAGCACTCTCGGAGAAAATGTATCTGTGACTCTTCTCCGAGCTCTAATCCCCCTCGGTTATCACATCCTGTCTCCAGCCATTGAAGCTGCAGGATTCCCAGAGCTGATGCAAGTGATGGCGAATCTCACTGACGCCGGCACTGACAAGGGACATGTACTTTTGTTCAGAGCGGCAACTGATTGGGTTGAACTCTGTAAACAGCAACTCATGAGTAAAGACACTGAGACTCAAATTCTGGACAAGCCATCACCATACATCGAGGCAGGTTGCTGTGTTCTCAATTACATATCAGATATTGTTGGTGCTGTCTGCCCCCAGAGACAACTGTCGAGCCATTCAACTGATCGAGCAACGAGTCCACCCTGGGAGGGTGCAGCACCTCTGATAAGTGGAGATCTCAACGATAGTGATTGGGTTGACGAACTGGTGCATGAGGATGAGGACAGTGCTGCTGAGGATTCGGACGAAGACAGTCTGTGCAATAAACTCTGTACATTCACTATCACACAGAAGGAGTTTACCAATCAGCACTGGTACCATTGTCATACGTGCTCAATGGTCGATGGTGCTGGTGTCTGCACAGTTTGTGCTCGAGTCTGTCACAGGGGTCATGACGTTACCTATGCCAAATATGGCAATTTCTTCTGCGACTGTGGTTTCAAGGATGATGGCTCCTGCCAAGCCCTGACTAAACGTAGTCCACAGAGCTCAGAGCATCCGGGCCAAGGACACGCGGCGAACGCTTCAACGTTCATCGGCAATGGAGCAGCCAGTGGAAACGAGAATTCAAATTTGAACAACAACGCGACCAACAGACTTCGCAGACGAGCCTCAAGTCCCACAGGATTTGGTGAGAAATTAGAGAGAAGTGGCAGAGACAAAGAGAGACAAGCTGCTCTTGCTAAACAGCTCGAGGGATCCAGAGACTGGATCATGACACAGTTGTGGTCCAGCGGGCTTGTTACATCTCTCGTTGAGCTCACCAGGACCCTTATACCAGCTGTTGATGCCTCCTGCCAGAAAAATTCACCAGTTGGTTGCCACACCAGAGGTCAAATAGCCCTGAGACAGCTGCATACACTCGAGAAAAAATTCATCCACACAGATCAACTGATGCTCTCAACTCTCGGCTCCCAAGAAGGTGCTTTTGAGAATGTCCGAATGAATTACTCTGGTGATCAAGGGCAAACAATTCGCCAACTCCTATCGGCCCACATGATTCGAAGAGTTGCCATGTGTTGTCTGTCCTCACCCTATGGTAAACGACAGCATCTTGCTGTTTCTCATGAGAAAGGAAAAATCACTGTTCTACAGTTGAGTGCACTATTGAAGCAGGCAGACTCTTCAAAGCGTAAACTCACACTAACACGACTCGCCTCAGCTCCAATTCCCTTCACAGTACTCTCAATCACTGGAAATCCCTGGAACGAAGACTTTTTAGCTGTCTGTGGCTTAAAGGACTGCCACGTACTGACATTCAACAGCTCTGGAACAGTCTCCGATCATCTCGTTCTGCACCCTCAAAGGGAACCCGGTAATTTTATAATCAAGGCAATGTGGCTGCCAGGCTCGCAGACACAATTGGCCCTTGTCACTGCTGATTTCGTAAAAATTTATGATCTTGGCAAGGATGCACTGAACCCTCAGTATTACTTCGTGGTTCCCATTGGAAAAATTCGAGATTGCACGTTCGTTCACACCGAGGACGATGTCTTCTATCTTCTTCTCATGTCATCTGCTGGATACATTTACAGCCAGGCTATGAATGATGCAAGTTCTGCCAAGCACGGTGCATTCTACGTCACCAATACCCTCGACATTTATCATCCAGAAATCAAAGATTTTGGCCAAGTGGGCGGAGGTGGAGTTTCCATTTACTATTCTCACGCTCTTCAACTACTCTTCTTCAGTTACACATGTGGAAAATCGTTCATTGCACCTTTGAATAATATGGATGACGATATCGTAACAGTCTTCATGATTAATATTGCCAGCAACAGGTCAAATGGAAACAAATCGAATAACAATCAGCCACAGCCATTGTGTCAGTGGAGTGAAGTCGCCAATCATCCTGGATTGGTCTGCTCTGTTCTTCAGACTAGTAATAATCCGGTTATCCTCATGATTAAACCTGATGTTGTGCTGATACAGGAGATCAAAGTCGTTCCAAAGGCGAAAATAATGGATATGGTCGCCATCAGGCATCCAAGTTCTAATGCTGAGCACAGGACAACTCTGATTTTACTCTGTGAGGATGGAAGCTTGAGGATCTACATGGCTGGCATGGAGCAGACTGGTTACTGGATGTCTTCTAATGTTCAACCAATTGGGACTATAACGGGAATTAAACAATCGAGAAAGAAGAAGATTGCCAAGGCAGGAAAGCCCTCTGGCTCCTTGACATTTCCCATTGACTTCTTTGAGCATTGTCAAGTTATGAATGACGTGGAATTTGGAGGCAATGATTTGCTGCAGATTTATAATGTCGCTCAGATAAAACATCGATTGAATACCACTGGGATGTATGTCGTATCGACCAGGACTATTGGATTCAATGTGGAAGTTACGAATAATGATCCTACCCTGGTGATGTGCGGAATTAGAGTACAATTGGGAAGTCAGGATGTTCAGAGGGCTCCACTTTATGTCGAGGTCTTTGGGAGAAGCATTAGAACGTCATTGACCAGAAGTCGCTGGTTTGATATCCCTCTGACAAGAGAAGAGAGTCTTCAGGCGGATAAGAAGCTAACCATCACTTTCGGTCTTTCTCAGGATCCTGATGTCATCATGGTTGATTCAATTAAAATGTGAGTGTCTTTTTTCTAATAAATTTTATCTTGGACCTTTGAATACACGAGGCAATCGGGGTTCGCTCGGATGGGCCAATGTGAAAATTGAATGAATTCTAAGAAATTCGACATGCTTTTACGGTAATTCTCAATTTTCTTAGCTACGGAAAAACAAAAGATGCATTCGGTTGGCCTGAAGAACCCGAAGAGATTCCAGCTGGACAAACAACCCCCGCACCAGTTGTTCCTGGCTCATCAATCACCAATGAAAATGAAACAGCAGTTGTATCACCAGCATCTCTGACGTCAGTCGACAAGTGAGTATTCAATCACGATCTCCTCCGTTATCACGAGCTTTGCATATATGTATAGTCTTGATATGTAAATAACGTTCGATGTATGAAGCTCGCTATCTGTTATTTTTCTTTACGAAGCCTGAAAAATTTTAATTCCTTGACTTTTATTGTAATGCATCAGACCCTCGAAGGACTCAGTGAAAATAGAAAGGTAAGAGATAAACAAAGAGGCTGAAAGTTGCTAATGTGTTGCATTCTTCTTCTTCTGAATACACTTGAAGGGATTCCATCGTAAAACTTATCGTCTCTTTCTTTCTTTATTTTCTATAGAATGATTTCAAGCATTCTGGAAGTCTTGGAGTCCTCATTCACTTTAACTGCAGCAGATGAAAGCAAATCCTCTCTAAAAAATACAGCCATCGAAGTGGCGTCAAATTTACTGACCCTGCCAACGCCACCATCAGTTCAAATGCACACAATGGCCCTTTTGGCAGCCCTCTACATGTCCCGAGTAGCCTACCATTCCCACAAAGATCAAGTCCAACTGAGCCACGTGTTGGAATCTTTGAAATCCATGCGAAATCTCAACGTCACGTGGATGGACGCTGAAAACTTCTATCGATTGGCTCTCATAATCAGAAGTATTGCCATCGCGCGTCCCCACAATCTGGCAAAATTCACTGAGCAAAATTCACCCAAGGCCTTTAATGAGACTAACATACCAATCTTTGAGAGCGACAGAGTATCACAACTCCAGAGCAAACAGAGTGAGAACGAGCAGCAAGACTCTAGCACTAATCAGCACATGGTTCTCCAGTTGATGGACGTTTTCTGGACTCTTCACATGGCCTATCCCAAAAATCTGGCCCTCGCTCCAGTTGTTGTGCCAGGGCTGACTCACACCGAAGCAATAACTTATGCCCTCGTGGAAATAATCCACTCCTTCACAATGTGCGATATCGAGTGGAACAGTGGATTAGCCGCGAGACTCTACCTTCAACTTCTTTTATCATCCGATACTGCTGTGAGTTTCAGTGCAAAACAGGCGATCATCAGAGTATTGAAACCTCGATACAAAAAACGAAGGGTTTATGTACCCAGTCCTCCTCACTGCAGTACACCAGGTGTCTCCGGTGTTGCCGGTACGAGTGGAATCGAGGAGAAACCGATCGAGAACTCTTCGCTTCAGGAACAGATGGAGGACCCTCGTCAGTACGACGTTGATGCTGTTGAGCCAATGGCGTTGCTTGGGGCAGAGGGTAATCAGGCAGAGAGACTTGCCCATCCCCTGGAAGCACTTCTGGGTCCAGCTGGATTTCCACATCTTCTCGATCTCCCTGAGGCCGACGATGAGGCAATGATGGGTTTGGCTATAGCTCTCAGTCTTCAGGATCAGGAAGGAGGTGGCCCTGATCTTCAAGCCCTGCAGCAGGGATTGGTGAATTTCCAGGGAATTCCAGGTCTAGAGAATCTCAGTGGACCTGCCCTGCAGAGCCTTCAAACTTTGGCTGCTGCCCAGGGACTTGGAGGATTGCAGGGAAATCTACCAGTTCAAGATCCAGCTCAGCCTTCGGTGTCCGGATCAGTTGGTGGTAACGAAGGGAATTATTCAGACACAACGACCTCAGCTGGTGGCTCCGACGATGAGGCCACTGATAATGGGTCAACAGCTGCAACAGACGCTAGTAGCACATTGAGAACTTCACCAGCTCCAGAGCAGCAGCGAGAGAGTGGAGGCAGTGAGAGTGGTGGAAGCGAGCAGAATGTGTCAGGATCTTCCTCATCATCGTATGGTGATTCGAATAATGAACAACCACAGAATAGTAGACGATCGACTGAACCAGGCTCGTCGGGCACTGCTGATGCCAATTCCAGTGGGCAAAATAAACAGAATGATACCCCAGAACATGAGGAAGTCATTGGTGAATCTGAAGTGACTGAACACGAGCCTGAAATTGAAATTGCACAACCTTCAGAGGCCACCACTAAGTTACACTCTGTACGTCTGTGTTTGCTCGAGAAATTCATGCAGTTCATTCCAGAAATGTCACAAAATGTATCGGGAGTTCTTTCCATTCCTTACATGCAGGTTGTCCTTATGTTAACTTCCGATCTCGATGGATCTGATGAACGAGATCGTTCCTGTATCGAGAAATTATTGAATATTCTCATTAAACAATTAGAGATGGATACAACTGATACAACAGACATCAACAAACGGACTGATAAACGTGAAGTGCATTTGGTTATCATGAGGCTATTGAGTGTTCTGATGTCTCGATCCAAGTACAATACAAAAGCACAGAATGACAATTCGAATTTTGTCTCCCAATTGACAGCGAGTATTTTGAGTAAAGCTGGTGTTATACATCACTGCTTGACATTATTGACAGAACTATTGAAATACTGGAAAACAACGTCGACAGAGGATCCAGGAACTGTCATTGGTGGGCAATTGTTGAAAGAGCATTTGACAACCTCCCCACCGGACATGTCACCATTTTTCCTGCGTCAGTATGTCAAAGGTCATGCCACTGATGTCTTTGAGCCTTATCCCCAGTTGTTGACAGAAATGGCCCTTAGACTGCCTTATCAAATTTACAAATACAGTGCTGAGAATAATATATCAATTCAGCCTCTGTTCGATCAGCAGGCCTGGCACTTTTACCTGTGTGAATACATGATGCTGTACCAGACTCCATTCATCAGGCGTCAGGTGCGAAAATTATTGCAGTTGATTTGTGGAAATAAAGAGAAATACAGACAACTCAGGGATCTTCACGCACTTGTCTCTCACATTCAATCTGTCAAGCAGTGCTGCAACAACAGTACAAATCAGATCGGTGGTGGTCTTCCTCTGGACTCTCAACAGCAGTCCATAATTTTGCCTTATGACTCTCTGGTGGAGCTCATCGAACACCTCAAGTGCTGCGTGGAAATAGCAACGAGCAGAACTGGAAACTGGCAGAGATTCTGCCTCAAGCAGACTACGGTTCTCTCTTATCTATTTAAAATTTCTACTCTTCTCGATGAAGGTGTCAGTCCCACTGTTCTCCAATTGCTCCAGTGCGCTATTTGCTCGACAGCAAAAACAAGAGACACAAAAACTAAGGATTCTAAAGGTACGATATCGAAGGAGAGAAGAGATCGTGCTAAATCTGAGGATTCAGACATTGAGGCGAAATTCGAGGAGACTCAGTGCGTTATTCTTGTGGAGCAGATTCAGAGACAGGTGTCATCGTCATTGCTGACGAAATTCATGAGGACATTCCTGCTGGAGACGAATAATACCAATGTCAGGTGGCAGGCGCACTCGCTCATACTGGCCATTTTCAAGAACAGCGGCCCACCACACCAGGAGGCTCTGTTAGATCTGCTCTGGAAGATGTGGCCACTGTTGCCAGCCTACGGTAGAAAGGCAGCCCAATTTGTCGATCTACTCGGATACTTTTCATTGAAAACACCTGATGCTGGCAAGAAAATGCACACGTACATGGAGCAAGCGGTGTCTGTCCTTCATGCCCAGAATCAGTTGCTCACACGACATCCAAGTGCCAATCTGTATACAGTGCTGTCACAATACGTTGAACTCGATGGATACTATCTCGAGAGTGAGCCCTGTCTCGTGTGTAATAATCCAGAGGTCCCCATGGCAACAATCAAATTATCATCGATCAAAGTTGATTCAAAATTCACAACAACAACGCAAATCGTCAAATTGGTTTCCAGTCACACTATCAGCAGAATAATGTTGAGAATTGGAGACTTGAAGAGAACTAAAATGGTGAGAACCATCAACATTTTCTACAACAACAGAACAGTTCAGGCTGTTGTCGAATTGAAAAATAAACCAGCAATGTGGCACAAAGCGAAGAAAATCACCCTTGCCCAGGGTCAGACTGAAGTCAAAATGGAATTTCCACTTCCCATTGTCGCCTGCAATTTGATGATCGAGTACGCTGACTTCTACGAGAACATTCAGGCATCCTCGGAGACACTCCAGTGCCCCAGGTGTTCCGCCAATGTTCCAGCTAATCCTGGAGTTTGTGCCAACTGTGGAGAGAATGTATTCCAGTGTCACAAGTGTCGTGCAATAAATTACGACGAGAAGGATCCTTTCTTGTGTCACGCCTGTGGATTCTGCAAATACGCAAAATTCGATTACACGTTGACAGCACGCCCCTGTTGCGCTGTAGATCCAATTGAGAATGATGAAGATCGCAAGAAGACGGTAGCAACAATAAACACCTGGTTGGAAAAAGCTGATCGAATCTACAAGACCCTGACGTCGAACAAGCCAACTCTGGAGATGCTGTTAATGAAGATTGCTGAGCACAGATCAGACACGAGAAATATTGATGATGGAGTTCAAGTGAGTAATTCTGGTGGAAATACTCAGGTGAATCGAACAATTCAGCTGTTGGCTCAAAGATACTGTGGAGATTGCAAGACATCGTTTGAGGAGCTCAGTAAAATAATTCAGAGAGTGATTGCTTGGAGGCGAGAGCTCGTGGCTTACGACAGAAATCAACGGGGATGTCTTCAGCATAAACGACAAATAATATTCAAAGAGAACCAGGAAGATGAGGACGAGAAGGATAAAGAGAAAGAGGTGGAGGATGATGAAGACGAGAAGATGATTATACCACCGATTACAGGGAGATGCTATGGCTGTGCTACTGCTGCAACTGAGCATTGCTTGACTCTCCTTCGTGCACTTGCAACCAACTCAGCAGCACGAGAAGTTCTTTGCAAGCAGGGACTCATTCAGGAATTGATAGAGCATAATTTGAGAAGAGGAACGGTCCAGGTTCAGGAGGAGGTACGTCAGCTTCTCTGTTTAGTCACAAGGGACAATATTCAGTCGACGAAAGAGCTCTGTACACTGCTGATGAATAGAGTCACTATGACATTGAAGGGTCGAGTGTCAACATCAGATCTGGCAATGGCTGTTCGGCCTGAGATGTCATTGCTGGCAGCTCTGGTCCAGAAGGATGACACGTGTTGGGAGCAGAAACTCCGTTGTGTCATGCAGCTATTCCTAATGGCTTGCAAAGAGTCGAAGAGTCCAGTTGTCATGGAGAGCCTTATTTTGCCCTCGCTGAAGATCCTCCAGAGCCTCATAAAACCAGATCAGCCAGTGTCCAAGAAGAATAAAGATAAAACTATCGAATCGCTTGCGACTATTCAACCACCACCGGAAGGTGTGAGTATTGATGTTGCTAAATGGTTGAATGGAGAGTCCAAGCACTCGTACACAGAGTGGCTGCAGAGGATGCCAGCAAAGAAGTCGTCACTACCTCATGGCTCGAATAAATCACTCAAGAAGGACGAGGCAAGAGTACTGTACCTCATGGAGAAATATGGACATCGTTGGCATTATCGATGCACAAGATTACGAGAGATTCAACCACTGATGCTCGTTGATGGGGCATGGCTGAAGGAGGTTCTCTTCAATCCGAGCTCAAGATTGGCCAGACAAGTTGCTTGCAACATGGTGGAAAGTCTCTGTCAAGGTACAGAGAGGAAGAAAAAAATTCTCGTCCTTATGACAGGATATCTGGAGGAGTTGAGGACAGCTGGAGAGAGCAGTGCTGAATTTTTATCACTTTACCAGAGCTTGATTCGTCAATTACCTTGGAAACAATTCCTTGCCGTGAGGTGTGGTGTTATGACGAAATTGGCTGAATTGCTCACTCGTGAAATCCAGGAGTTGCATCGGTTGGAGGAGACAACACTGACCAGTGATTTGTCGCAGGGATACTCATTGAAGATGTTGACTGAACTACTTGCAACATTTTTGGAACAAGAGAACATCAAGCAGCAGTACAAGGGCAGATTAGTTGGGGCTGTTCTCAATGGATATCTCTCTTTGCGAAGATTGGTTGTGCAGAGAACTAGATTGATCGATGATACTCAAGAAAAATTGCTCGAGCTTCTGGAAGAAATGACTTCAGGCACTGAGGAGGAGACCAAGGCCTTCATGGCAGTGTGTGTAGAAACTGTTGAGAAGTATAGCCCTCAGGATGTACGGACACCAGTTTTTGTCTTTGAGAGACTCTGCTCCATAATTTATCCGGAGGAGAATGATGTTGGGGAGTTTTTCTTGACACTGGAGAAAGATCCACAGCAGGAGGATTTCCTCCAGGGTAGAATGCTGGGAAATCCGTACAGTAGTCTCGAACCTGGATTAGGGCCACTGATGAGAGATGTCAAGAATAAAATTTGTCAAGACTGTGAGCTCGTTGCACTCCTGGAGGATGACAATGGGATGGAGCTCTTGGTAAATAACAAGATAATAAGTCTGGATTTGCCTGTGAAAGATGTCTACAAAAAAATTTGGGTTCACGAGGGTGGAGAGTGCGATGCCATGAGAGTTGTCTACAGAATGCGAGGACTCCTTGGTGATGCAACTGAGGAATTCGTGGAAACGCTCAATGCAAATAGCGAACAGGAGATTAACAACGAGGAAGTTTATAAAATGGCAAACGTTTTGGCTGATTGTGGAGGTCTTCAAGTGATGCTCGATCGTTTGTCGGCAATTCACGATGTGGCCAGAGCTAGACCACTACTTCAAGTACTTCTGAAGCTGTTCAGACTGTCTGTCAAGGTGAAAAAGAATCAGCAAGTGCTGAGTAGGCCCGAACTAGGAGCTGTCACTGTATTCCTTCAAGTTCTCCAGAGATGTCTGGCAACGGAGCCATCAGAGACGAGTGGTCAGGCTCAAGCCAAAGTGACAGAGCAACTTCTGGATATCATGGAGACAATACTGGCAAATGCCACCTCCCAATCTCTCGAATCTTTCGAGGAATTTTCAACAACTCTCGGAGGTCCTGAACACGTCAAAGCCCTCCTCTCCTGCACCCAATCGTCAGCTGTCAGACAGAGCAATAACGTTCTTGTTCATCTTGCTAGAGTCCTGGCCGCTCTGACGTATGGTAATAAAGAAAAAATGGCTGTTCTCTGTGATTTCTTCAAGCCTGTACTGAATTTCTACGAATTTGATTACGAGCACACCGCAGAGGACGAACAGAAACTCGAGCTCTTCTGTGTATTAACTCAGGGAATTGAGAGAAATGCCATTGGAAATACCCTAAAAGATTACATTATTGATATGGGAATAGTAAAGGATGCCTTTGAATACATAACAGTATACGCCCCATGTGTGAAGCCAACTCTCCTTCGTACAGACAGCGACGAGTTGAAAGAATTTATCTCAAAACCAGCCCTCAAGTATATCCTCCGTTTTCTCACTGGTTTATCAACACATCATGAATTAACACAGCTCGCAGTCTCACCCGTGACAATCAGTATAATCCATCGATTGGAGCAAGTGTCCTCAGACGAGCACGTTGGATCACTCGCAGAGAATCTCCTTGAGGCCCTCTGCACCAACACCAAAGTAGCCCAACTTATTGACGAGGCAAGACAGCACACACGAAGTGAGAAAAAACGTTTGGCCATGGCTATGAGGGAGCGTCAACTTGGTGCCCTTGGAATGCGCACAAATGATAAAGGCCAAGTGACAGCTGCCAGCGGAGGAACAATTCTCCAACAGATGGAGGATCTCGGTGAGGATGAGACTGGTCTAGTCTGCGTTATCTGTCGTGAGGGTTACAAATTCAAGCCAAATCTCGTACTTGGAATCTATACATTCACAAAACGCTGCAACGTAGAAGAATTCGAGACGAAACAACGTAAAACCGTTGGCTACACAACTGTCACACATTTCAACGTTGTTCATGTGGATTGTCACATGTCAGCTGTCAGATTGGCGAGGGCTAGGGACGAGTGGGAGAGTGCTGCACTGCAGAATGCAAATACCAAGTGCAATGGCTTGCTACCACTGTGGGGACCACAGGTACCAGAGTCAGCCTTTGCTACTTGTCTAGCTAGACACAATACGTATCTTCAGGAGTCCACTGGGCACAGGGATATCTCTTACTCGTCGACCATTCACGATTTAAAGCTTCTGTTGTTGAGATTTGCCCAGGAGAAGAGCTTCCACGATGATACTGGAGGTGGTGGACCCCAATCCAATATGCACATCATTCCCTATCTCACTCATATGGCTCTCTATGTCATGAACACCACAAGATCTGGAGGCAAAGAGGAGCAGCAGCTGACGAGCTACTTGAGGGCATCGCCTTCGGCGTCCTGGCTGGACAGCTGTTACGAAGCCGAAGGGCCTTACTATCAAGCTGTTCTCTCTCTCCTTATACACCCGCCAGCTCGTTGGCAACAAGAAAAATTCACCCACTTGAAGAGACTTATCATTCTCGCCCACCAGAGGTACATCTCACCCTCTGGACCTACCAAAACCATCACCGACTCCACTGTCAAGGATTACTCTGTTTATAAAAGCGCTCTCATATTTTTTGGACTCATTGATGTGATTTATGGAAACTTCTTCAAGGATTCCAGTCTTACTACTAAAATGACCTCGTCACAGCTCCAGTGGTCCACTGTTCTTGCTGACTATATCAGGGAAAATGATGAAGCTATGCTCAAAGCTTCTGAGAAAGTTCTCGTTGCGTATCGAGATGAATTGCTGCCTTGTGCTTCGTTCGATGAATATTGTGATGTTGTCGGTGAGTCATTGAAAATTGAAGTGAATTTTTTAAAACATACCAGATATATCAATTATTATTATTTTATTTTCAGGTTTGCTTGGGGAGATACCAGATCTCTCTTCGTATATAACTGATCTTCTGAGGAGCTTTGTTTGATGAAAAATTAATGAACAGAAGACAAATACGTACTTTAATATCAAAGAAATCTATATCTGAATTATCATTGGCTTTTTCAATTTCTGTATACGAAGGCAAAACCATTAACAATCTTTTGATTAATATTAGTCGCAATTTACTACGATTATGATCGACATCTCGTTGTGTATCGCTTCATTATTTATGCATTCATAGTTTTAGCCGAAGTAAATGTGAATGAAAAAATGAAGTATGTGCTTCGATGAAAATTAAATCTAATAAAATGTTTGCAAATGTTACTACTACACAAGCAGATTTTAGTCAATTTTTTTCTTCGCGGGTTTCATTAAAAATTTCTAATATTGTTAAAACCTTCAAACTCGATTACTTGAACGTTTAGGAGTAATGATTCAGGAGAAAAATCGATTACAAATGGGAAAATTCTTTATTCACGGCAAACAGTATGAATTCATAATGGAACTGATTGTAATTGTGGTTCCTACAGCACAATAGAACTGGAAGCTTTTCTTTGAAAAACGATGGGGAACCAATTTCTCGAGTATAAATAATTTCATATTCTTTCGGTACGAAAATAAAATTCCTGCTCTTCCGTCTGCTCCATACAATGGGGATAGAATTAATTGTGGTATTTCTACGCAGGTAGTAGTTTCAATTTGTACATTACGAGTGACAGCCCTTACTCCTATCTTCCAGAGAGATCTACCTACGTGTCACTCTTCCACAATTTTATCGTTTTATCGTTTTCTAATGCAGCTGACGCGATGATGTTATCCGTTGGATGACATGTCGTACAGAGAACAACGTCTGCAATAAATTCATTCATTAGTATTATCCACTGGAGTTGAGTTAAAAATCAATTAAAACATTATTAACCTGTGTGTCCTTGAAGTTTCTGAACAATTTCTTTCGTCTGCAAATTCCAGATGTACACCATGTTGTCTTCTGAGCCGGAAACAATCCATTTTCCTCCAGTCACAGAGAAATTAGCGAATATACAGTATTTTTCATTACGATGGCCAGTGTAAGTCTTAAGGCATTTGCCTTTGCTGTAATCCCAAAGCTTGAGTGTGTTATCTAGTGTTGCAGCGAGAATGTATTTTCCATTTGGTGAAAATTTAACGAACGATACTGGGGGATTGTCATCGTCAATCAATGTCTTCAGACACTGTCCAGATGCTGTGTCCCATATTCTACATAAACCGTCGTAACTACTCGATACAATGAGTGAGCCATCCCTATTGAAATGTACAGCACTCACTGGATCTGAGTGAGCTGGCAACGTCTTCAGACACTTTCCTGTTCTCACGTCCCAAATTCTCACGCTTTCGTCGAATGATCCAGAAACGATGAGATTAGATTGTGGATTGAAGTTACAGCAAAATACGTAATTACTATGGCCTTTTAGAGTCTTCAAGCACTTGCCGGAACTGAGCTCCCAAATTTTCAGCGTTTTGTCATCAGAAGCTGACACAAGAAGTCTGCTGTCACTAGACCACGCCACATCAGATATCCCCAGTTTATGTCCGGCTATTGTTTTCTCAAATTTACCATCGTAAGAGCCCCATATCTTTATGAGTTTATCAGCAGCTGCACAGTCATCCATAGGAAACAAAATTCAAACAAGCCACATGAATAACAATATCAAATTTATAAAAATACATAAGTTGGCATATTTCGGGAATATCTTCAAAACGAAGGAAAATCATAAAGAGGCTCTCACAAGCTGATTGTCTCCTTAATTTCTGGGATATATTTCTAAAAAAAACTGACCGAAGAGCTGACTCAACTGATCTCCTTTTACCACTTGACAGAATCAGAATAATAAGTGTCAACTTACAAGAACTAGCTAGCCATTCACCGTTTGGACTGAATTTGACAGAGGAAACGGCCTTGGTGTGTCCAGCAAGTGTGTACTTCAAAGTGTAATTCGGTTTCTAAACGAAATAAGGGATAAATTGATGATGAATAAGCATGTGGCTCACATGGTCGATAAACATTTGTGGAAAATAATACGATACCAAAGTGGAACTTGCTTTTGATCCGCTAGTGGGTGTCGACGAGGTGTTATTAACCGAGGCCTGATGACCTGGTGATGGCCCGAGAGGTACCATAGCGTTGCAGCGAAATATTATTTGATTAATTGGAAGGAAGCACAAGTCGGCTAAATGTTGAAGGTTAGGGAGGGATTGTTGGATCCAACCCGGGTATCTCCTGTGTTCACAACTCAGAAATATTTTCCTTTTGATTTATTCCACCGAGGGACCAATAATTATCTGTCAATTTCACTAAATGCAAAGGGAACTTAGTAATTTCGAGGATCCAGATGACATTTGTTGAGTTGATGGCGTCTAAAAGAACGCACTGAAACCGATATTATAACAACAAGTACAAAATGCCTTTTGATTCTCAGGTTCTCCCAAAGAGAATTGACTAAAGTAGAGGCTCAGTTCTGGGGGTTTGAGTGACTCCAGCGGCATCGTAGTACTGCACCCCAAGAGAGGGAGGGCGCAACGCGCAATGCTGGGGTGTTTTTTTTAATTAACCAAGTTTTTATTGCAATGCTGGGGTGTCTCAAGTCGACGGGGTGAATTTTATTTTCTGCGGTATGAATGTTTTTTGTTTTTTATTTGTTTAACTGAAATTTAGCCGACTGTAGAACGTGTGGAACGGGGAAACTACATCTTGTGGAATTTCAATGGAAAAAATTATTTAATATATTGAAGATATACCACTAATTAAATTATATTTTCATAATGAGCG